GTCATGTCAGCCTTACACCTCACACTCATCTAGTCATGTCAGCCTTACACCTCACACTCATCTAGTCATGTCAGCCTTACACCTCACACTCATCTAGTCATGTCAGCCTTACACCTCACACTCATCTAGTCATGTCAGCCTACACCTCACACTCATCTAGACATGTCAGCCTTACACCTCACACTCATCTAGACATGTCAGCCTTACACCTCCACACTCATCTAGACATGTCAGCCTTACACCACACTCATCTAGACATGTCAGCCTTACACCCTCACACACTCATCTAGACATGTCAGCCTTACACCTCACACTCATCTAGTCATGTCAGCCTTACACCTCACACTCATCTAGTCATGTCAGCCTTACACCTCACACTCATCTAGTCATGTCAGCCTTACACCTCACACTCATCTAGTCATGTCAGCCACACCTCACACTCATCTAGTCATGTCAGCCTTACACCTCACACTCATCTAGTCATGTCAGCCTTACACCACACTCATCTGGTCATGTCAGCCTTACACCTCACACTCATCTAGACATGTCTACACTTCACACTCATCTGACATGTCCAGCCTTACACCTCACACTCATCTAGACATGTCAGCCTTACACCTCACACTCATCTAGACATGTCAGCCTTACACCTCACACTCATCTAGTCATGTCAGCCCACCTCACACTCATCTAGTCATGTCAGCCTTACACCTCACTCATCTGACATGTCAGCCTTACACCTCACACTCATCTAGACATGTCAGCCTTACACCTCACACTCATCTAGTCATGTCAGCCTTACACCTCACACTCATCTAGACATGTCAGCCTTACACCTCTAGTCATGTCAGCCTTACACCTCACACTCATCTAGTCATGTCAGCCTTACACCTCACACTCATGGGTTAAGTCTGATGATACTGTACTCTGTCTCTGTCTTGTTTTATGATTTATATAATATTATTGAAAATTATTGCAGAGATTGCAAGATATTAACATTTAAAATTTGGGTATTCGTTTACAATGACCGTGTGTGTGTGTGTGTTTAAATAAGTTTTATATGCCGAAAGCTTCAGAACTGTTAAGAAATAAATTACAAAAACACACCTACATAATGTCTGTGTAGGCCCGTGCCCAGGAATTTAGGAGGGCAGGTGTTTAACTGAAAAAGGGCACCCCCCCCCAAAAAAAAAGAAAAAACTGAATACAAATTAACTTGTTGTTTATTAATAATAACATGGTCAACCATATACCTAGAGGCCAGAGCAGTGTATTAAAATCAACCTGTAATAAAAGAAGCTCCACACTGTCAACCAAAGCTGTAACATAAGTCTGCCTAGGCTTGCATTTCAACCAAAACAAACGTTAGTTATTTTATGTATTAGCTAAATACTCATAGTTGTGTAGTTCAAACATAAATGTGGTGTGTTCATTATAGAATTTTATCATGACGTTGGGAAAGTAGTCATAGCTAGCTACAATGACTGGAGACTGGCTAGCGCGCATCACATCAGACAACAAGCGAGCAAAGGCTTCGTCAACACATTAATCTTCATTCATGTGGACCTGGCAGGATTAGTGACATTTGTACATGTCTATTTTTAACTAACTTATCGTATATACTACGTTTTAGTTTTGCCCGAGCGCAACGTTGGACTACTGTACTGTTGGACTTCAGCAGGATATTTTGCGGCTCTCACCATATGATGGAATCACTTATTTCTTACCTTATTGGACGAGTTACCACAATGACACTTATGCTGGTCTTGATATTTACATTCGTTCTTGCACTTAGGACACTTTACTGAGGTCGGGAGAACACCATGATTTTGAATTTCGAAATATGAAACCCAAAATAAAAATCGAATTTGATTGGGCCAAAAATACAGCGAATTAAACCACAAATCAGTTTAATTGGTTCCCCCCCTAAAAACGCTTTTGATTGGCCGCGTGACGTGTACGGGAACGCATACGAGTGATGGTTTATGGAGACACGCAGTATGGGAGGTGAGGTAGGCGATAATGGCGGAAGATTAATGGAAGAAAATAGAGTAAATTTTGGATACGCCATCTCCGTTATTTTATATTTGCGACGGTAATGTAATAGAAGAAAATTATCTAATAATTTGACGTCTTATTCGAATATGATAATAGATTAGGGTAGAAATGTTGTGTGCGTAAATGAAATAATACCGAAAATATGATAATTTTTTTTTTAATACCGGGAATATTTCGTATTAGTTTGACGTGACTCATGATTTAGTAACAAAACTCCGTTGCTGATTCGGCTACTAACATGCATCCATGTCACGGGCTTCTCTCCCTGTGTATGTATGTTCTCTCGTCGCTTTGAAACTCCTGTACAGTTTAGGATGAAAACCAATTTGTATAGGTGTTTGTTGAGCATGTCTAGTAAACATAAACAATAAGCTACTACGGGACTAAAATATTTTTATCATCTTTCTTAAATTACCTTTTCAATTCATTAAAATTATACAAAATATTTTTACCTGCTGCAAATTATTAAATACGATATTTTATAATATAAAATATATATCTATTTAGGAAAATGCGAAATTTTACAAGAGGAGAAAGCTTGATTTTACGCCGGCCCATTCGATTTTTCGCCACTCGCTATTATATTAATTGGTATATTCAGGTAAATTTGAAGGTACGTGCCCACCCTCGTCCTATAGACATGCCACCCCTGGTAGGGGGCGTGGGCTTGGAGTGCGTCTGTGTGTTACTGTGTACTCCGGCGGCCAAATCGGTATTAAAACTGAAGCATGACGAAATAAATACAATAAATACATTCGACAACATCAGAGTTGCGTTCAGTTGAGCGTTTCGTAGCGTTCATAGTACAGTACTATTTTTCAACTGTTTCCTCACGTAGACAACAAGATATAAATATATATCATGGGGGACTATTCTTACAAGGTGTGGATCACTTGAAGATTAATTCCCAGTTTATTTCACCTTAATATTAACAACTCTGATGGTAACCTGAAACTAACATAATCTATCTACATATCTAAACGGTATTATTCATCATCTCTGAACTGTAATTAGAAATACCATTTAACTTCACCAGACTAAGCTAACACAGCATCATCATCATCATCCAACACAAAACACAACCACACAGGAGAAATTCTACCATAAAAACGTCTTGTAGAAGGGGGGAGAATCTTTACCCTCACACACAATGGAGCCCCAACCCTCCCCCCCCGCCCTCAAACCTCAAATTCAGTGGTATTTTGGGAACCCGCAATTAGGATGGAGTCTTGGGTTTTAATACGTAATTTCCTTTCTTATACAATATCCTATTTTTAGCTCATATATAATTGAAGGAACAGAGTGGGTAGGGAGGTGAGTGGGGGGTGTGTTGGCAGGAGGAGAGCTAATATTAGTGAACGGAGAGTAATATTGTATGTTGTGTGCCTGAAGCTTCGTCTACGTCTGGAAAAAAATCTTGATCGATATCTAGTGCGTCGAAATCTTGTCTTAACTCTGTATTTTCCTTGACATTGTTTATAATTATACATGGGAATATTGAGAGAGAGAGAGGTTTGCTCGGTCTCTTTCCATTTCGTTATGCTTTTGTTTTACGTATAATTAGTAATCCATTTATTTTATTATCATTCATTTATATAGTTATTTATCTTCATTCTTTCTTCTGTTTACCATTGATTTCCTTGTAGGTAGCACTCACTTTCGACGCCTCAGTACCACTCACCCTCGGTACCACCCACCCTCGGTACCACCCACCCTCGGTACCACCCACCCACCCCCTCGGTACCACCCATCCTTAGTACCACCACCCTTAGTACCACCCACCCTCCACCCACCACCCTCAGTACCACCCACCCTCAGTACCACCACCCTCGGTACCACCCACCCTCAGTACCACCCACCCTCAGTACCACCCACCCTCAGTACCACCACCCTCAGTACCACCACCCTCAGTACCACCCACCCTTAGTACCACCCACCCTCGGTACCACCCACCCTCAGTACCACCCACTCTCAGTACCACCCACCCTCAGTACACCCACCCTCAGTACCACCCACCCTTAGTACCACCCACCCTCGGTACCACCCACCCTCAGTACCACCCACCTCACCACCACCCTCAGTACCACCACCCACCCCTCAGTACCACCCACCTTCAGTACCACCCACCCTCAGTACCACCCACTCTCAGTACCACCCATCCTTAGTACCACCACCCCCACCCACCCTCAGGTACCACCCACCCTCAGTACCACCCACCCTCAGTACCACCCACCCTCGGTACCACCCACCCTCAGTACCACCACCCACCCACCCTCAGTACCACCACCCTCAGTACCACCCACCCTCAGTACCACCCACCCTTAGTACCACCCACCCTCAGTACCACCCACCCTCTACCACCCCTCAGTACCACCCACCCTCGGTACCACCCACCCCATACCACCCACCCTAGTACCACCCACCCTCGGTACCACCCAGTACCCTCAGTACCACCCACCCTCGGTACCACCCACCCTTGGTACCACCCACCCTCGGTACCACTCACCCTCGGTACCTTACAAAGATCATAAGAAACCCTGAAATTTTCCAAGACGATCGAATCTTTTTTTTAATTAACCTCTTTAACTTAATCATTCCAAGAGTAGACTTAATTTAGTTCATTTTCTAAAATTTCCCCAATAAGTCTTAAGTCTGTGTCCTTCTCGCTCTCAGGTTAGGTTAGGTTAGGTTAGGTTAGGTTAGGAGAAACGTCTACTTTAGTGGGTGTGTGTATATATATATATATCGATGTGTTCATGTGTGTTTTGCTATATACACGTACTGTATATATATATATTGTATTGTGTATATGTATGCTTCTCACTACACCCTATACCTAACACACACACACACACACACACACACACACACACACACACACACACACACTATACCGAAATAAATCAATAGTAATTAATATGTGATTTTCCCCTTCGTTTCAGAGTGTTTAAAAGGAGGAGAGATCATCGACTTTACCCAACGTGGAAACAACCCGAAACCCTGACGGAACACCACGGAACACCACGGAACACCACGGAACACTACATAGACAATAGAGTACAGTAAACGACAATATTCTCCAGGCATTAGAGTGGCGAAAACAGACTGTGTATATTTACCTGTTAACTGTCGATCTTTCTCTAACTGTGTAAGACTATAAAGTGGTTGAAGATAGCCATTAAAAAGTCATAGAGAAAGGAGGTGTTGTGGAGGCCAAGAGGTCAACAGTGGCCAAGAGGTCAACAGTGGCCAAGAGGTCAACAGTGGCCAAGGGATCAACAGAGTCCAATCAACACAAGGGATGGCCAAGAGGTCAACAGTGGCCAAGGGTCAACAGTGGCCAAGGGATCAACAGAGTCCAAGAGGTCAACAGTGGCCAAGAGGTCAACAGTGGCCAAGAGGTCAACAGTGGCCAAGAGGTTAACAGTGGCCAAGGGGGTCAACAATTGGCCAAAAGGTCAGCAGTGGCCAAGGGGTCACAGTGGCCAAGGGATCAACAGAGTCCAAGAGGTCAACAGTGGCCAAGAGGTTAACAGTGGCCAAGGGGTCAACAGTGGCCAAAAGGTCAACAGTGGCCAAGGATCAACAGTGGCCAAGGGATCAACAGAGTCCAAGAGGTCAACAGTGGCCAAGGGATCAACAGAGTCCAAGAGGTCAACAGTGGCCAACAGTGGCCAAGAGGTCAACAGTGGCCAAGAGGTCAACAGTGGCCAAGAGGTCAACAGTGGCCAAGGGATCAACAGAGTCCAAGAGGTCAACAGTGAACATATAAAGAAGTTCCCTGAGATGCAAAAACAAATATACTGCTAGAATCGCCATCTTCTCTGGACACCATGAATGAGATTACGCCTGAAACGTCGCCCGAGGAACCAACGACGACAAAGACGATGACGAAGACGATGACGAAGACGACCACCCTGCAAATCTTTCGTGAGGAGAGCGTGGACACTGACGGCACTACCCAGGAGGAGGAGGAGGAGGATGGTGAGGGCGCTAATGGCAGCAACAGTGGTAAAGGCGAGAGCGACGACGGCACCAGCAGTAGTACTAACAACGGCAGGACGAAGGCGACAGTGCCATCCTCCCTCCCGGTGGTGCCTCAGAAGAACATGAAGCCGTCCGCCAAGAACTGCTTCAGGCTGGTCATCCTCGGCTCCGCCAGGGTGGGCAAGACTTCCCTAGTGTCAAGGTGAGGCTCCCATGCTCCAGGTGATGCTCTCATGCTCCAGGTGAGACTCTCATGCTCCAGGTGAGGCTCTCATGCTCCAGGGGCGTCACTTACGCTTGCTGAAGCTCGCGCACTACATATTACACTTATCAAATTACTTTACATGATATAACTCTCTCTCTCTCTCTCTCTCTCTCTCTCTCTCTCTCTCTCTCTCTCTCGGCTGTCTCGTGTTACTTCCTAAAACCCCTCCCTAGCGCATTGCCCTAGCATCCTCCCCCTAGCAACTTAATCCTAGCAAGCTCTCCATAACCACCTCACCCTAGCAACCCATCTTTAGCAACCTCCCACTAGCAGTCTCCCCCTAGTAGCCTCCCCCTAGTAGCCTTCCCCTAGCAACCTCCAACTACCAATCCTTCCTTGCCAGCTTATATCCCTACCTTCCTTCCCTTAACAACCACTAACTACCAAACTCTCCCTAGCATCCTCTCCTAGCAATCTCCCCTTAACAAACCCTCCCTAGCAACATATTCCTAAAAATATTCCCCTAGCAACCCTTCCATAGAAAATTTCCCCTAGCAACCCATGTAACATTCGTACCCTATAGTAGTCTCCACCTAGCAACCCACCCCTAGCAACCTCCCACCCTAGCAACCTTTCCCCTAGTAATCTCCCCCTAGCAACCTACCCTTAGTCTCATCTTACAGTCAGACTAAATGCCGATAAACTTTTCCCGATTTTCAGTTTGCTTTTTTCCGATAAATCTGTTTTGGTAGCGATTTGGTGAACAGATGTCTTATTTTGTTTCCCTTTCCCACTCTTGTAGGGTAGAGTGAGAGAGAGAGAGAGAGAGAGACTGTATTGCCGTGTGACCCATTTCACCTCTCTCCTCCGGTCCCATGTCGATACTTGATGCTCGAAGTCACTATCTTTCGAACCTGTGATACGCTCTCTCTCTCTCTCTCTCTCTCTCAAGGACACATCCAGGGTTTGTTTGGGTTGTGGGTGGGTTACTTTGTATGTATGTATGTATGTATGTATGTATGCATGTATGTATGTATGTATGTATCAAAGGCTACTAGCTAGATACTCCTGATTTAATACATAGACTTTAGTTAAGCGAAACTGAGAACTCTATAGGCTCCCTCAGAGAGTTTAACCGCCCCCCCCCACACACACACCCACACCCACACACACACACACACACACACACACACACACACACACGGATACATCAGAGTCAGAGAGATTACATGATGACGGTGATGAAAAATACAATTGACGAGTTTTAGGTTGAGTGTGTTTTAAAAAGTTCCAGTTAGTTGGTTTTTCTTTTAAGCATTTAACGTTGACGGGGGGCGGTCGTTTGAGGGGTTCATACTCCTGTTTACCTGCTGGTGTTATGGTTGTTGTGGTTGTTGTGGTTGTTAGTGGTCATAACAAGGATTTAATAGATATTCCAGGATTTCTTCAGTGCTAAGATTTATTATTACCCTAACAACAACAACAACAACAACAACAACAACAACAACAACAACTACTACTTTTTTTTTTTTAAACGTGGCCTCCAGCCTCCCCCAATAGTCACACCTTCGCCACCATTTATTTACCTTAATATTAAATATCCTAATACATAAGAAGCTATCCTATCTGTGTTAAATTAGTTGAGCCGCAGATCTATGCGGCATTCAGTGACTGTAGCCTCATAGTCAATATCTGCAGCAGTTGTCGGAGTAGGGGCAGAAGCTCTCGTTCCCCTGAGGCAGAGCAAAGCCGACCGAAGGGGAGAGAAGGACAGTCGATATCTCATCCAGGCTGTAACATAACTTCTGGGCTGCTGCTTCTGTTCGGAGATCAACTCCGCGAGTCTGGCGTAGAAACATCTTGCACTTGGGCCCATCCCACCAGAGGTTGTGAACACTAGAGGAGTGAAGCTGCCTTGATCAACATTTTGAATTCTCTCCCCATATGCCCTTCTCTTGTCGTTCTCGTTCCTCCTATGTGCAGCATCGAGAGCTAGGTTACGGTGACAAGCGGCCATGGGATCAAAAATCCTGATGTCGAAGAAAGCTCGCTGTCCCGCGTCCAGAATCCTCGAGCACTGACGTCCACACGGGCTTCGTTAGATGTGTTTGAAGTCCTGTGTTGGAAGATCTCGCCATCCAGTGGAAGGAGGGTCGGTTCTACCATGACGTCCCGGCAGATTTCCTTCAACATATTTGCTGTGAGATCCCTTACCTCGTCATGCCTCATGCATATGAAGCCCCCCTTCTTGCAGACCATGGCGTGATCGCCGTCATAGGAAGAGCCACACACGCATTGGGAGGGCAAACCATCTACTGGCCAACCGTACTACTACTACTACTACCACTACTACTACTACTACTACTACTACCAGTCCTCACTTTGCTATTTACGTTGTATTTACGTTTACACTTTAAATAACGTACACCTTACCTCACCTCCAGTAATCTCTCTCTCTCTCTCTCTCTCTCTCTCTCTCTCTCTCTCTCTCTCTCTCTCTCTCTCTCTCTCTCTCTCACTCTCTCTCGTGGTCAATTTCCTCCCAGATATAATAATAGTATTAAAACGAGATATTATCATGCATCAGTATTTCACAATTGAGGTAAGAGAACTAATTACTACGCTTCAACAACTAAGACCTTTAAGCGTGCTTCTATGTTAGGTTAGGTTAGGTTAGGTTAGGTTAGGTTAAGAGATCATTGATGTCAGGTTAGGTCACGACACATGTAAACGAACAACAGTATAGGAAAGTTACGCCAAGTGAGAAGAAACAGAATGGCAATAGTGGAAGGTTCTTCCTCCATCTTTACACAAACAATTCAAACACATAGAGAGAGAGAGAGAGAGAGAGAGAGAGAGAGAGAGAGAGAGAGAGAGAAACGGCTAAAAATACAACCTGAAGACCGTAACCCTCTCGAGGCCAGACCTATTATCTCAAGTGACGGCACCAAGTCCTTTCTCCTCCCCACCCCCTGAGAAAAGCGATTAGTTCACGAGGAAACTATTTGTCCTAGAGTCGGCGTTGTCCTATTCTAAGCTTTGTCCTAGTCTAAGCTTTGTCCTATTCTAAGCTTTGTCCTAGTCTAAGCTTTGTCCTAGTCTAAGCTTTGTCCTATTCTAACCTTTGTCCTAGTCTAAGCTTTGTCCTAGTCTAAGCTTTGTCCTAGTCTAAGCTTTGTCCTAGTCTAAGCTTTGTCCTAGTCTAAGCTTTGTCCTAGTCTAAGCCTTGTCCTAGAGTCGGCGTTATCCTAGTCTCCCGGAATATTCTTAATATCTTAAGTATTTTTTTTTTGGCTCTGAAAATTTATCCCAACTTATTGTGGATTTACTCAGAAACCTTTATAGTCCTAATAGAACTAAGACTATTATTATCACTCTATTATTATAAATATTACTATCACTAATACTAAAGTCAATGGAGTATTTCCTCTTTATTCATTTCGTTCGTCTTCACATTATTATTCGTATCGTCACTTAATACTTGCCAGCGCTATTATGTTCCGTATAAGAAATAGATTTTAACCCTCAATATATATTTCTTTTAATTTATATATCAATAGTAATATAGTCACATGTTGTTTACAGTTTATTGGATGATTTTTGCTAACAATATCAAACTTTACTGTATATATCTTTTTTTTATTAAATGTTGATTAATCTGATGTTACAAAATACAACATATTTTATTATTTTTAAACAAGAGGAAAATAATAATTACTCTTCACTATGATATTTTTATCTATAACTACTGTACTGTTATTGTATTTCACATTATGTAATTGAGGAATATTTCATGACAGAAGTTTATACAATACCATAGAATAAAGAAACTATGTTATATTCACTGCTATACTCTGTCAGCTTTATACATATCACGTGTTACTCTTTCACTTCACATACTTCCTTTCGTCGTCCCGATAATTATATATATAGGGATCTTTATGTCGTTTTTCCCTGGTCTATAAACTTCGTATGTAAGTTAAAATCTCCTCCGTAACTCAAGCTTCTCCCTACACGTGCCACTGAAGCAAGATGGTTGGTTATTCGTGGTCTGGTTCTTGAAGGAGTATCGTGTTGACTTATAAGATTGACTTTATACATCTTGAATGCCATCATCATCAGCCCCAGGTGTACAGTACGAAGCTCTTCAGGGTATTGATCATATCGAGCCATAAAGAGTTCCTCATCCTCCTCCTCCTCCTCAGATAACTCGTCATGATGTTCTTGAAGTTGTTCCTATGACCACCAGAGTGGCGAAACACTGTAGTTCCTCCACGAATATACCTTATCACGCCATAGGCTAAGAGAGGGCCTTCTGTGAGAGTTTGAGTACAACTGAGGGCATCCTGTGAGGGTTTGAGTACAACTGAGGGCCTTCTGTGAGGGTTTGAGTACAACTGAGGGCCTTCTGTGAGGGTTTGAGTACAACTGATGGCCTTCTGTGAGAGTTTGAGTACAACTGAGGGCCTTCTGTGAGGGTTTGAGTACAACTGAGGGCCTTCTGTGAGAGTTTGAGTACAACTGAGGGCCTTCTGTGAGGGTTTGAGTACAACTGAGGGCCTTCTGTGAGAGTTTGAGTACAACTGAGGACCTTCTGTGAGGGTTTGAGTACGACTGAGGGCCTTCTGTGAGGGTTTGAGTACGACTGGTTGTCCTTCTGTGAGGTTTTGAGTACAAATGAGGGCATCCTGTGAGGGTTTGAGTACGACTGAGGGTCCTTCTGTGAGGTTTTGAGTACAAATGAGGGCATCCTGTGAGGGTTTGAGTACAACTGAGGGTTTTCTGTAAGGGGTTTGAGTACAACGTTTTTCCACACACTGTTGAGTCTATTGTGGGAGTCTTGGTTCTATTCCTGAAAGACACGAGTATGGTGAAGGAAATCAGGGTAAATAAGCTTTTACCATATCCGTCATGATGGGGTTGAGCTAAAGAACATAAAGTGAGGCTGTTGGAAGCTGTTGACTGTTATCGAACTGATTGCTCGAGGCTCCTGTTTG